TCACGATTTTTCTGGTGATCATTGGTGACGCTAGTTGGCGCAGTCATTTAGTTGCGCAAACGGATTATCACTAACAACGTTGTGTGAATGTTCTCATCACACTTAATATTTTTGCTTTTAGAGGTTCGTAAAATTGTGCTCGGTGCCGTCAATCACAACTTTCACCAGGCTCAAATAATGGAGGGCGAAATAAATCATGTCATTGGCAAGGTCATCATCCAAGAGTTGGTGAAAAATGAAAAAATCAATTTTGATACATTCATCAAGCTCGTCAACAACAAACAAATAGCCGATGAACTGCTACAGGCCAATGTTTTCTCATATAACCCGGAAAGTAGAATCGTCACCTTCCAGTCTCGCGCAACTGAAGTTTTTGTGAGAGAGTCCAGAATTTTCGTTGAAAGGATCTAGCTCGAAAGGAGTTTTCACTTACTCAACAAATGTATAGTCTTACATTTTCTTTATTTTCGCCACTTTGAAGCAATAATAGCGTATATTCGCATTTTATATGTATCAGTTGCTACTTTCGGCAATGATTTGTTTCGTTAAATAAAGTATTGTATACTGGGAATGAGACCACGCTTGTGGTGGTATAGCCACTCAGCTACCGAAGTTTTAATATCTTCTAGACATGTATGGTTATCTGCGCTTTTGCTGAACATCATGTAAAATAATTCGCCAAAACGGTTAGATTATCCCATCCTTTTTGAAGGTATTGCGCCATTTCTTCTACGCAATTTAGACACGGTGTCCACCAGAATTTCGTTCACGTGAATTCTCAAACATATATTAATGGCTTTTTTTTTTAAATGTGTATAGCTGATAAAGTACTTTTGCCAATCATGGAAAATAATTTACCGATCCTGGACACCGTGTCCAGACTCATACCATCAGAAAAAATAATATTTTTTTGCACGTGCATTTTATTCGTAATCATTTTCCCGAATTCCCGTTATGCTTATCCGGCTAGAGAAAAAATCCGAAATCTGATTGGCCGATCATCTCGTGATTTATAGAAACTCACCAGCTCCTGGGATCTAGGGTGATACATGTGATATTTATACGTCATGCTACAAACTGATTTAGCCAGGCGCCGTGCATATGCATGTAAATATAAAATTAGCTTAGCCCGAGATATGACCCTATATA